TGGACCAAAAATTCAAAGGCTTCAGGGCTTTTATCTGCTCAGCCAGTGGAGGGGATTTGCATGAGTGTTTCAATTTCTCACGAGTATTTACATAAATCATACTATTTTTATATAGTATTACTGTAGTGCAGTATTTTCTTTTTCTTATTATTATTACAGACAAACACTGACATGTTCCTTCTATGAAGCAGCGCTAATGCAACTTCAAAAGGTTGATTGCCTGTCCTTATTAAAGCTGGCAGCCTGTTGAGGAGAAGAAGACTATTTAAAACTTCAGATTGCCTCATCTTCCTCATCCATCATTGATGTTTCCTCAGGAGTACACTTTATACTGCTGGTCAGCAGCTGCTACATCAGGGCTGCTCCAGACTCTGTGAAGTCAGTGCGGTTCTCTGTTTGGACACTGAAGCTCTGTGATGATGCTGTGATTGGAGGGAGGTATGTGAATGTGTGTTCTTTCAGGCAGTTCGTTTTTTTTTCGTGCAAATGCAAAACAAGACAAAAAAAAACATGAGTTGTTTTTTTTTTTTTTTTTGTTGGTTCAAACCAAAGATGAACAAACAGGAAACAGACGTTTATTTGCTTTTGTTGTCAGAATTAAAAAAACAAGAACATCCAATCAGAAGAAACGGTGTTTGCAAATTCCTTTTTTTTTCATTTTTCCTTGTTGAATTGAAGAATGAAGAAAGGTAGTCAGGTGACACAGAAGTAAAGGTAAATATTTCAAAATAAAAGCCTTTCACTTTCTATAGTCTAAGGTGTAAAATGATACAAGCATGGACAGTTAGTTTGTTTATTATGTGTATTATGTGTATGTGTATTAAGTGTATTTCCACATATTAATTGATTAGTTTAATTAATTCACACTGCGCATGTAAATAATACATCACACACTTCTGAGAGTGTGGCGCAGCAACATGTTTTTTCCAGGTTCATTTCTCTGGTAATGTGATTCTGTTGCATCTCCAGTGCGAGTCTGTATGAACGAGGTGAAAGTCGTACGGTTTGAGTCTAATGACTTCAGACACGTGTTAGTGTTTTATACAGAGCAGTCAGTGTTTCAGACGCCTCCAATTATTCTGTCCTTCCCTGAACAGAAGCACTTTGTGAGGAAGTGATGACACTTTACTCGCGCGGCGCCATCATTATACTTTAGCTGCCAGTCTTTTCAAAAGGTCCGCACTTAAATGTGGAGCTGGACTCTTCTGAGTCGGCTTTTATTTATTTTAGGCTCCTCTGGGACCCCAGGAAGGAAGTTTCGAATGCGGTTACACAGTCTAACGAGCGCTTTGTTTGAAACACCCTGAGGACTTAGAGGTGTGGAGTTCGTGGAGGTGGACGGGTGGAGAAAGCCTTTTAACACCAGTGTTCTGGACTCAGGCCTTGATGTCAAACCAGTAGCCAGTCCTGACGTCTTTGTCATTTATGGCTGACGACCTGACAACCTTTCACTAACTTTACCTGAGTGGGTTTTTGCCCAGCCCTGATCATACCTAAAGCATTCATGTGCCCCTAGCGATACTGTAGTAAATATCTAGTTATAAAAGATTTGGAGAGAAGATTCACTTTCCCCAAAAGCACAAAGCTAAATGGCTGCAATGAGAACATAATTTGTAGTGGAGTAACAACAACCCAACAGAGCAGGAAGAAGCACAGAGGAAGCTTTCTGTGAGATGCTTCAGGGTGAGTGGTGAACATGTCAGCAGTTAAACAGAGAAGACCTTCTCTCACTCTAATTGGACACCACTGGCTGTAACGTGGAAACAGCCATTCACAGAGGTCTGGGTGTTAACTGGATGTGGTCAGCTACCTTGTCAAGACTGTCAGGAAACTGTCTCTGCTTGTCAGTAATCATTTAAGACAAGCTAATCTGCATCACAAGATGATGAGACGACGACAGGAGGATCATCTGTTCTGTGCAAATCATGCGCTGTGATGCTGTGGATTGCTTAGCAACAAGCATGCGTGTGTGTTCGTCACAGACAACCACAAAATCTTTCCCTCTATGAATGAGACACTGCAATTCATAAAGGAATTCCCTGTAGCTCTGAATGAGATTCATCGTCATGTATCACTGTGAAATGTCCTCGGCTGTGTCACTCATGTGGAAGACGATAACTCTAGCTCTTTCTTTTATCAAAACTCATTGTCAGAGCATATACAGAACATTTACTAACATGCTGCCGCCGTCCTCGATACCAAACCAAAGACCAGAGAAACTCTTTCTTTATCTTTAAATAGAAAATAGTTGTTTGCTGCTGTGTTATTGTTTAAAGCTCCATATTTTTCTCTTCTCCTGTGTTTAATTTGAAGTGTTGATCCATAAGAAGATATATTTGTGGTTTTAGGAACCAAAAACCATCTCAATGTAGTTTTACATCTCCTCTCTCAGGCTTCTCTCTGGAGCTCTAGTAACAACAGGTCGGTGAGCCAATCAGAAGAGAGGAGGAGAACACTCAGAGAAACCAAAATCCTGTTAGATGATGGGTCCAGGTGGGCGGGGCTTCGGGCTTGGCTGAGAGCGGTGACTGCTGTGTTGTGACATCACAAAGTTGCAGAAGTCCTGACGGCTTGTTTTAAGACTCAGTTTCTGAATACAGGCTGTGTGCATTTCTCTGTGGTTCTCTGCTTCATAATCAAACAGAACAACAGATGGAACCTACTCAGTAACTTTGAAATCACTTCTTAAACACACAGTCTGTAACTCCAGCCTCTAGGTTTCTCTCAATCAAAACAATAACAAAAGACGGCGTTCCTTCAGTGTCAGTGGTTCAGGAAATCAAACAGACAGTTGATTCTAACCATTAAAAACACTGAATAAAGCAGGTTCACATTTAAAGTCAGTGTTTGAGCGACGCTGTACGGAGGACAGAGACTCAGGGAAGAGCTGGAGCTGAGATTGATGCTAACCTTTGTTCTGATTGTTTCTCTGATAACTTATGAAGCAGACGTTCAGCAGGTTTTTACCAGCAGCTGAATTATCCACAGAGGTGTCCTCCTCTCCATAACAAACACACCAGGGGATTAAAACAAGTAGAAACTCTGAAGAAAGCAGTTTGACTTTAAAACTCAGAGATTCAGGGTTCCCTGGACCGAAAAGGCTTAGTCCTACCCACAGCGGCCGGGGTTCCAGTCAAACCTGTCATCCCCTCTCTCTCTTTTTCCGATTTTCCTGTCTCTCTCACTGTAGCTATCCGAATAAAGGCAAAAATGCCCAAAATATAACTTTAAAATAATCAGTGATTCATCAATAGGGAGTCACTGGAACCTTAGACTGCTTACCTTTGTTTATTGCTTTTATCGACAGTCTATTCTCTCTAATTGTCCTTATTTATATTGAAGTATATTGTACGTCCTTCCTCTTCCTTATGACCTGCAGGTCATAAACATGGGAATCTTTCCCGTCTCCACTATTTGACATGAGTGTGGCATTAGGTTGTAGTTTGACTAATCTGTGCTGGATGTTATATGAAGTACTGATTAGAATGAAGATGTCATTCAGTGTGTTTACATCCACAGTCCCAGCCGGAGCTCTGACCATTTACACAAGACAAATCATCTGTGTGGGTTAACCTTGGGTTTCCAGGGCTATTTACCACACTCTGAACCTGTTCCTCCTAATTATCACAAATGGCCTACGGGTAATCAGTGCTGCTGCGGAGAGCCCGTGGAATAACACATACAGACAGTGAGAGTTAGTGAGGAACATGTTTTATAACTGATGCACAGTGAGTTTTATGTAAATATTTACTGCAAAGCCCCAAATCATTTACAGAAATGTCTTCAGGCTTCTGAATTCATGAGGAAACCCGACACGGTGACAGCTCCTCTTCCGTGTGACTCATGTACTTTGATGTTATGCTCGGTGTCTGTCAGAGGCAAACTAAGTGACAGCTCTTTGTTTTCCCACAGGCTGCTATTATTCAGGTCACAGAGAACAGGAGCATCATGTGTCCTGAGGAGAGGCTTCTGAAGGAACCACACTTCCATCAAAGACACGACATGACTCCAGGAGCAGAACAACGCCACCTTTAAATACACGCTCAGTGTCATCTGACCTGCTGGAATCAACAGATGGAGTGGAGAGGTCGCACCCTGCTTTGGATCAGGACTCTGCACTCATACTACCAACAGACGGGCACCGGGAGTTATACTTAATCAGCAATGAAACTGGAATGGTACATGATGGTCGAGAATCCGGTAAATCAGAGTGTACAGCAGGAGCCTTGAGAGAAGTTGTTGCACAACAAGTAAAAGAATGGTCACGATTGTCTGGACTTTACAATGAGACAAGAGACCCAGGAAAATTAAGGACATATGGACGGTGAGAAGACGAAACAATGGACAGTTTCTTCTTTCTTGGATGACGGTAACTAAAAACACATAACATACATCTGTCTGTGGATTGTTACAGAAACCACAAGGACGTCAGAGACTGAACATTACGTCCAGGCAAGCTGTGGGTCAAGTAGCTTGCTGTGGCGTTTCTAGAGTCCGTGGGGCCCTAGGTGAAAAATTGGCAGGGGGCCCTTCCATACAGTGTCCATCACCATTATATAATAAATAATCTGACACCAATGAGAAATTAAGGAAATCAAAACGATTTTTTTTTATTGTTATTACAAATCACCACGTTAAAATATGAACATAAAGAACAGTAAAAACCTGAAAAATAACGAAAAAACTCCTTCTCAGTAAAGAAGCTCTGATGTGGCTCTCTGCAATGACCGTGTTCAGTGGGCGGGACAGAACAGCAGCCGACCAATCAGCAGCCAGAGAGAGACGTGACTGAGCTGTGAATGGGTGTGCCCAACGATCAATCACTGATCAAAAAATAGGTAATTATTTAGGTAGTCACCGTCAGGAAATGACATGGGGCCCCTTTAGGGAGCAAATTGTCCCTTGGTTGGTTAAGGGGGAGGGAGTCGCCTTTTGAGACATTGCTGTGGAGTTTGTCAGCCCTCAGGGGTTAGCATCATTTACGCTCACCAAAAGTGACAATGGATTTCAATGGGAGCCTGGACTATGGGTCCTATCCCACAGGCCTGCCCTACAACACCAGCGTGGACTATGAGGACTACTACCAGGAGCCGGACGCTAGTAAAATCATCATCCCCTCCATCTATGCCCTCGTCTGCTGCGTGGGTCTCACGGGCAACGCCATGGTCATCTATGTCATTCTGAAATACGCCAAGATGAAAACAGCCACTAACATTTACATCCTCAACTTGGCCATCGCCGATGAGTTGTTCATGCTGAGCGTTCCTTTCCTGGCCACATCCGCGGCCGTCCGTCACTGGCCCTTCGGGTCCCTGATGTGTCGCCTGGTGCTGAGCGTGGATGGTATCAACATGTTTACGTCAATCTTCTGCCTGACGGTGCTGAGCGTGGACCGTTACATAGCAGTGGTCCACCCTATCAAGGCCGCCCGCTACCGCAGACCCACTGTTGCCAAAGTGGTCAATGTCTGCGTGTGGGGGCTGTCGCTCATAGTCATCCTGCCCATCATTATCTTTGCAGACACTGTCCCGGCGCAGGATGGTGGTGTGGACTGTAACTTCCTGTGGCCTGAGGCAGCCTGGTCAGAGGCATTCGTGGTCTATACCTTCCTGTTGGGATTCCTGCTGCCGGTCGGCGCCATCTGTCTGTGCTACTGTCTCATGGTGGCCAGGATGCGAGCAGTGGGGCTGAAGGCCGGCTGGCTTCAACGCCGGCGCTCGGAGAAGAAGATCACCCGCATGGTGCTGCTGGTTGTGGCGGTGTTCGTCCTCTGTTGGATGCCCTTTTACATTGTCCAACTGGTCAGCGTTTTCCACCGGCCCCCAGACCCCATGGTCACTCAGCTGTTTGTCATCCTCAGCTACGCCAACAGCGGCGCCAATCCCATCCTCTACGGCTTTGTGTCTGATAACTTCCGGCGTTCGTTCCAGCGCATTGTGTGTTTCCGGTGGCTGGAGTCTGGGCTGGATGCGGAGCAGGTGGATTACTGTGCTGTAGCTTTGAAGAGACAAGCGACGTGCAGCCCTCTGGACTTTCCCAAGGACTGCATGGCTTCTGAGATGGTGTTTCGCAATGGGACATACACGTCCCGTACGACCACGGTGTGACATTAAACCGGAGCAGGACCTAAAACAAGAAATTGCCAGGAGGAGTTTCTCAACCTAATTACAAAAACCCATGTTCATTTGTCATAATTTAACTTTTTATTTAAAGATACACTTCACTCCATTATACTGCCCAACAGCACAACAAAACTACATATATTCTTAAGTTCATAGATTGTGTTTCAAAACTGAAACTGAAATGGAAATTTATTTTGGTCTATCAGTAATTACACAAACAAAAAATACAACTCAACGTCTTAAATCCTCAAATACAAAACATTAAGAGGGAGGTGTAATTACTGCTTGATTATACTGGCTGACATGGTAAAGTCAGTACAACAATAGGACCATGTCATACTCATACTGTCATACATAATGATTGTTAATTCTTGTTAAAGGTCCATATAGTATAAAGTTAGATGTCCATGTGTTGTTTGCACCCAGCTTGTATACAGAAACTGAGCCTTAAAACCAGCCGTCAGGACTTCTGTCACTTTGTGATGTCACAACAAAGCAGTCACTGCTCTCAGCCACACCCCAAGCCCCGTCTACCTGGGCCCGCCATCCAACTTTGCAGGATTTGGTTTCTCTGAGTGTTTACCTGAAATCTGCTTAAAATTTTTATTGGATCACTCAGAAAAGAGAGACTCAGAACCTCCTCTCTTCTGATTGGCTCACTGACCTGTTGTTACCAGAGCTCCAGAGAGAAGCCTGAGAGAGGAGATGTAAAACTACACTGAGATGGTTTTTGGTTCTTAAAACCACAAATATATCTTCTTATGGATCAACACTTCAAATAAAACACAGGAGAAGAGGAAAATATGGACGTTTAAGTAATTTGTTTATTATTGTTATGCTGTTATGCCTGGCTTTCAAGTATAGTTACAGTATTGCAATAGATGTTGACATTATATTTATGTAGTTTCCCAAAATTAATTTATTATCATCGTATGTTGTCACTCCCACAAATTAATGAAATGTATCCATTCAATTTAAAAATCATTTCCTTTTAAGTTTTCTGTGTGAATTTGTTATGATTACCAATGATCTTAAGTTAAAATCAAGTCAACTATGTAAAAGCTTCGATTTCTTTTCCACAGAATCCAAAAGTTTTTGAAATTCTTACCACAGAAAAATGAATGTATGTCGTCCGCAAACAAAATCATTCTACTGTTTATTTTGAAAAAATTACACGTATCATTCATGTACAAAATAAATGCAAACAAAGAGCTGGGAGGAAGTTTGGGCCTGAAGTGGTGCTGTTGAACATTATATGAAGTCAGGATGTGTATCTTAAATTAAATATCTTATTTGTTCTTACTGTTTGTCATCATAGCACTTTTCACAACATGCTAATGTACAAATCAAACATTTTACCACAAGCGGATCAAATCTCTCAAACTTTTAAATGTAACTGACTTTGTCTATCTTATATGTAGTTGTGTAGATTTGTATAACACAAAGTTAAATTCAAAACTGTTGATGAATTGATGTTACTGAGCTTAATTTCACAGCAAGTTTTACTTTTCATTAACAAACAATAATAATTGATTTATATTTTTGAACAAAGAAACTGTATAAGATCCATATAAGAGGAAGGTTAAATTATTAATGAGTGTCATTTTCTCAAGGCTTCGAAACGATGTTTGACTCTTCGTGTACGTTCCTGTATTTGTGTATTTGTATCTGTTTGTTCATTATTTGTTGGTGGATCTGTTTAAATCTGAGATTTGTCTGAGTATGTAAATTACAAAGGTTCAAAACTATTATTTCCACCTCTGGTTTCCCTCTGTCTTTTCTTCTGTTGCTGGTTAAGTCTGTTGAAAAAGCTGAGAAATTAATTTCATCATGCAAAGTTAATTTTACTATTTAACCTGATAATCGCTGTAAAGTTCATGCACACCTGAAAGTCTCAATGTCAGGGGTCAAAAACTCTTGACTTTGAAAACGTGATCCAGATCTTAATTGACAATATTTTCCATCCTCAGATCTTGATCAGGTGTCATACGGACAAACAGCACCAGCACCGTATACTTATATACATTTAGATATAAACTAGAGGCTGTACGCCAACGAGCCAAGTTACAGGAAATCTGGTCTCAGTCTCTCCTTCCTGAGTTACGGTGTTGAATAATGGCCAGAAGTGTTTTTGCAGAACGTTATGATGTCACAGTGAAGTTGACCTTTGGCCTTTTGGATATAAAAATGTCATCATTCTATCTTATTAGACATTTTTGTTTTGTTATTGTGTCATAAGTAGTGCATGGATTCATGGCCATAAACTGGTTTTGTGAGGTCACAGTGACCTGGACTTATGACCTTTGACCACTAAAATCTAATCAGTTAATTCTTGAGTCCAAATGGACATTTATGCCAAATATGAAGGGATGCCCTTGAGGTGTTGCTGAGATATGTGTCCAGTCCTAACAGTGGGAATCAGCAGCAGCTTCCTGGTTTCATGCAAATTAAGGCCAATGAGCTCTTTTCATTGTAAACATTATCCTCCACTGCGCTCTTCCAACTGTTCGTTTCTTTACAGTGTCTAAGTTGAATTACAGACAGTAATCCAACAGAGTATTTCAACGTACAGAGATGAAGCAAGGAGATACAAATACTGTAGAAAAATAATGTGAAAGGATGAACATTTAAAGAACATAAGCTACTTTAAGATCAAAATTAGCAAGTACTTGGTAAAATATTACTATAGATTCACAGTTGTAAAACTAAATAGGCCAATGTTACCTAGTCATGTTTCAGATGTGGGCAGGAAGGAGCCTGGACAAAAATATGTTGGTTCTCTCTCTCTTTCTCTCTCTCTCCCTCTGGATTGGACTCAGGACTCTTATCTCTAAGAGACACCTTCTATTTTCTCTTCAGACGCTCTGTTATTTCTCGGCCACTTCACACTCCTCCATCTCCATCCATTTTATTCCTTACGACTTCTCGGCCATCCGACCGCTCTGCCACGAACCCCGACGCAACATATTTATATTCATTATTTGAAAGTGCAGGGACATCTCCTTACAGTGAAGTGAAAATACCAGAACATATATTATCCTGCAGAGCTGACGTCTTCAGGGTCAGTGAAGTACTTATATTTTCCCCTGTGGCTTATAACTGGGTCCTCAGTACAGAAAGAATACAATACAGTGTTTGTGCATAATAGCAGAATGGAAAAAGAGGTGGTCGTGTTCTGACCTGTGTTTAATTAGAAGTTTCATCTCTTCATATCTCTCTGATAGATTAGACATCTCACACCTGTCTGTGACCTACAAGTAACCTACAAACACACAGGAACATGATTATAATAATACAAAAGACAAGCGTGTGTGATTCTAATCTTACAATCAGGAGCTCAACAGAAGAGACGTGTGTGTGTGTGTGTGTGTGTGTGTGTGTGTGTGTGTGTGTGTGTGTGTGAGAGAGAGAGAGTAATTTCCTGTTATTCTTTCTAACATGAGGCACAGTTGAGGTCACATGAATGATGGGATGATACACAACAGCGTGATTAAAGATGTGCAGTTAGTAAGACCGATGACAGGCTGTGATTAAATGCTTTGTTGATGGAATATCTGTGAGCACAACACTGGGACGCGCAGGAGCCTTGAATTCTTTATTATTGCTCTTTTCTAGTCTCATCGACCTTTAACATTGAAGCCGCATTCACTCACACACTCGTACGGCGCTTTTCGGACGCCGGCGTTCACACACCGATGGCGCATTTCGGGTTCAGTGTCATGCCCGAAGACACTTGCCAGGTACGGTGGCCCTGAGAGCTCAGAGCGCTGCAAATTCACACAACACAACAGAAGTGTTTCCAGGAGACCTGTTGCTCAATGCCCAACTGTGACTGTAGAAGTTAAAAGCATCGATTAAGAAGCGAGTCCCAGCAGGATCATCACTTTTTTTCTTTTTACGTTATTTTTTGTTATAATTCTGAGAGAAAGAGAAAGAGAGAGAGAGAGAGAGAGCAGCGGATAGGATTACACCTTCATGGTACCACCCCCCCTACCCCTATGCTTGTGTCCCCCTGGAAACACTTCTGTTGAGTTGTAGGATTGCAGCGCATTATTTGCATATGCTGTTGCCGTGCGCTGAGCTCTCAGGGCCACCGTAGCCAGCGCCCGGAATCAAACCGACAAACCTTCTGATGAGTGGACGACCTGCTCCACCTCCTGAGCCACAGCAGCCCCTTCATGTAAACTTGTATCAATTGCAACAAGTTATTGCAAAAAGAAAGGAACACTGGACACTTGTCCGTGATTTCATTCAAATGTCTCGTCTCGTCTCGTCGTCTCCCGCTTATCCGGATCCGGGTCGCGGGGGCAGCAGCCTCAGCAAAGAGGTCCAGACGGCCCTCTCCCCAGCCACTTCCACCAGCTCCTCCGGGAGAATCCCGAGGCGTTCCAAGGCCAGCCGAGAGATATAATCCCTCCAGCGTGTCCTTGGTCGACCCCGGGGTCTCCTCCCGGTGGGACATGCCCGAAACATCTCCCCGGGTAGGCGTCCAGGAGGCATCCTCACCAGATGCCCGAACCACCTCAACTGGCTCCTCTCGACATGGAGGAGCAGCGGCTCTACTCCGAGTCCCTCCCGGATGACCGAGCTCCTCACCCTATCTCTAAGGCTGAGCCTGGCCACCCTGCGGAGGAAACTCATTTCGGCCGCTTGTATTCGCGATCTCGTTCTTTCGTGCCAGATGTATTTACACGTCGTGGTGTTCTGCTGAATTCTTCATGGGGGACGGGCTCGCTCGTTGACTCCTTGATATCCAGGTCAAGCAAGGACAGGGGACCTGGGTCGGGTCCACTGAGGGAACTGGGGTGTTCCCATAGTCCGCTCCCACTGAGGAACCTTGTCGTGCACGTTGTACTAATGAGCTGCAAACGTGATTATATAATTTATATTAACTGTATTACATTAGAAGTGGGAGCCTTGTTCCCATGTGAGAGAACACACACTCTTTCACCACGCCCAGAGCACTCACATCAATATCACTTTCA